CCACACGCTTCAACTCCTCCGGTGTGGGAGCGTCGATGGAAAGGTACAGTTGCGTCACTGGCTTCAATGCATGTAGTTGCTCAGGAAACTGTGCGTTTGTCACCATAAAGGAGGAGATGCCTCGCTCATGCAGAAGATCGACAAAGGTGTTAATCTCCGGGTACATAATCGGTTCCCCGACGAGTGAGAGGGCACAGTGACGTACATGCATTCCTTCTTCCAGTCGCTCGGACGTCACACCTGGCACCCCACGCATCTGCTTCATCATCTTCTGATGCCCCGCAATCCCTTCCGCGATCAGTAACTGCGGTGGGTCAACTTTCCAGCGAAATGTGCGTGAAACAGGATTCGTGTGATGTCGCCAGCAGAAGACACACTTGTTGGCACACGCCAGACTCGGTGTCATCTCCATACACTGATGGGAAACGATGTTGTAAAAGGTGTGCTTGTAACACCCACCACGGCCCCGTAGCATCGCTTTCGTCCAGCGGCACAACTTCACACCACTGTGGGAGCCGACAAGATGATACCCCTGACGCTGCAGATTTTGACGTAGCCGCGGGTACAACAACTCCGGTGGTTCACTGGATGAAGCCTGTACCGCATGATCCACACTGCCACTTTGGCCGTTGGCATCTTCACCCTCATCCTCATCATCCGTCACGACGTCCTCGACATCGCCTTCACTGTTGTGATTCCGCTTCTTTCTGCCGTTTTCTTCATCCTCCTCTTCCCTCTCTTCGTCCTCTTCATCTTCTTCGCTGTTATAAGTGGCATGTCCTTTTAACTCCACATCATTACACAACTTTAGTTGCTCCTTTTCCTTCAGCTGTTTTTGCTGTCTTTTTAAAATCGTCACACCATCCGCGGTGAAGGTGACACGACCAACCCACTTCACCAAAGATGCCGTAAACATGTTAAAAAGGGGAATCGTGTTTGCCTCACTCGCATACACCGGCGGCACCACAAACGTCGCCCCGAGGCCTTTACACCACATATACACGTTCTTTGCAAAGCGATTGAAGTGCTTTTCCCCGTACGCGATATCGCCTAAGCCAAAGATGGCTAACTTCTTCTTGGCAAGTGTGTCACGAGGCACACGGAAGTCTGTATATGCGTCCTGCAGAAGATTCGCAAAAACCTGCGACGACTCTGGAGCGGTTCCATCTGTATATGTACTCGCAATGAGAATAATAAGGCCGTAGGCTTGACTTTCCAGCAGATGCTCTACGCCACACTGTCGCCCCTCCTCTGTGAGCTGCAGCACCTTCAATTCGGGCAAATGACGTGCCGTGTGGGATGTGGCGCAGCATGACGATGGCCCTTCAGAACAAACACAAGAAGAGGAACCTCCCTGCACTTCATCTCTTGACTCATGCAACGCGGTGCTCAGTGCAGAAAAAAGTTTGTGTGCCAGTTTACATGCCGTGTTAGATTGAGTG